TGTAGAGTTAAAGAAACAAGTGTGTCAAGCACCTGCATTTTGGTAACCTAAAATTGCCCTTTAAAATGTTTGTGCATGAACAGGATGGGCACTGTAGCGCAGCAGTTACGCAAAACAAATGAGGAAAAGACAGACCTGTCATGTACTGGAGTAAGTCTTTAGACTCAGTGGTAAGAGAAATGCCACCGTGCTTAAGAGCAGTACAAGCAACTGATGGTTCTGCATAACACCGCCTCGATTGCTATGGGTCAAAAAGTAGATTTGTATGTTCCACATGCAGTAGGGACTATAGTTAACATTACAAAAGCCCAACATGTTACTAGCGACTGCTGGACAAAATGGGAAACGACACAGAAAGCGGTAAGGGGTAGTTCAATCGATACAGAACGTTTTAATGTGGAAAACATTGGTATCTGGCTGATGTATTTTATAATTTGGGCGCATTACATATTAATCTAAAAATAATAGACATTAATAAGTGTGAAGCAAATAGTGACTATCCAATGGAGATCGGTAATAAATATACTGAACAAAAATATAAAACGCAACATGTAAAGTGTTGGTCCCATGTTTCATGAGCTGAAATAAAAGATCCCAGAAATGTTCCATACGCACAAAAAGCTTATTTCTCTCCAATTTTGAGCATTTCTCCTTTGCCAAGATAATCCATCCACCTGACAGGTGTGGCATATCAAGAAGCTGATTAAACAGCATGATCATTACACAAGTGGACCTTGTGCTGGATACAATAAAATGCCACTCTAAAATGTGCAGTTTTGTCACAACACAATGCCACAGATGTCTCAAGTTGAGGGAGAGTGCAATTGGCATGTTGACTGCAGGAATGTCCACCAGAGCTGTTGCCAGAGAATGTCGTTTTAGAGAATTTGGCAGTACGTCCAACCGGCCTCACAACTGCAGACCATCTGTAACCACGCCAGCCCAGGCCCTCCACATCCGGCTTCTTCACCTGCGGGATCGTCTGAGATCAGCCACCCGGACAGCTGATGAAACTGAGGAGTATTTTGGTCTGTAATAAAGCCCTTTTGTGGGGAAAAATCCATTCTGATTGGCTGGGCCTGGCTCCCCAGTGGGTGGGCCTGGCTCCCAAGTGGGTGGGCCTGCCCATTCATGTGAAATCCATCTATTAGGACCTAATTTATTTATTTAAATTGACTGATTTCCTTATATGAACTGTAACTCAGTAAAATCGTTGAAATTGTTGCATATTGCGTTTATATCTTTGTTCAGTATATACACAGTCAAAAACGTTAGGGTAGATTAAAACACAAACAATACCTTCCAATAAGGAGAAAGTAAAGGGGGACAGTGGCCTCCTTGTAAACATAAGTTATCATGTTTTGTTCTGTCTGTATTTAGGACTGATTAAGATTTTGCATACTGAAAACTAACAAAATGTTTATTCTCTATTCCAGGAGAGGATGGGGTGTCCCTTTGAAATGCTTCCTGAGGTCGCTGCCTTGGGAGAGCAGTTTAGACCAAATTACTCCAAAACCCCAATTTAAAAGAACCAGAACTAGAATTCTACATACAGACACTCTAGTTACATGACAACAGGAGGAAAGTGAGTAACTGGGTATTCTGTATGTGATGATGGGGGAGTAGTGAAAGCTGGCCCATTGCCAGCCTCCGTTTCAGCCCAGGGTGCTGAGCTCTACTAGCAGAGGCCTGTAGGTTGTCGGCAGGGGAGAGGGTTACAATATACACAGACTCTCGCTATGGGTTTTAGGTAGCTCATGATTTCGGGACACTGTGGTCACAAAGGGGCATGTTAACAGCGACAGGGACTCCAATTTAAAATGGCCATGAAGTAGAGGCATTAGAAGCGTGTCCATTACCCAGTCAATTAGTCGTGGTAAAATGTGAAGCTAACACCAATTGTACTGATAAAATAGCAGTAGGGAACTCTCAGTTCAAGACCGCCTGTTGGGGGCGGGAAGTGTTGCCTACACCCACCAAACAGCTACCACTACCAGACAGACCCTTTACATCATTGCAGATGGACTTTATAGGAGCAATTCCTCAAAGTAGGGGAAGACTCACGCACTGGTAATTGTGGACCAGTTTTCAGACTCTCCTAAAGGAGGTGATTCCACGATGGGTAAATCAATGTTGTCATACTGTCAGAAATGTACCCATGCCTGTGTATTCACAGGTAAAAGTAGCACACAAGGAACGGATCCCAGGAGAATACCGCGAGCACGACCTGAGTCCGGGAGGCCGAGTGTACATCCGGGCCCCACACGGTACTCCTCACCATGCCTACAGCTGTTAAAACTACAGCTATCAGAAAACCCACTCTAGATTACAGCTTGGGCAATGGGGGAAGTCTCACATGAAACGAGATCCGTCTGACTAATGGGTGAGCTGGAGAGTAGGAGTTTATGTTAAGAAAAGTGTTGTCATAACAGCATCCATCTGTGTACTGATAACAGTATTCCTAGCACTAGCAGTAGTGAGTGATCTATTGGAACAATGATAATGACAACATTTCACTGCCAGTACAATGGATAGGAGAGTGGGCAGATGAGTGGGTGAAATGGGTGAGAAGTGCTATTAATGTCACGGGGCAAGCAGAGCATTAATCACAGAAGTCATGTTGTGTGGGTGGTTCCGGGAGATAATCAAACCAGCATTTTGAGGGTGGGTTGTGCCCGAGACGGAGTAATTGTTTTCCAGGAAGGAATCTGGTGAGCAAAATGGCACTTCATGACTGAAGGATCAGACGAGAATGTCTTTCCTGCCTGCACTCAAACCAAACCTGTGTAACGGCGCTGATAGTAACCTCACTGAACCCTTATCCTTTCATGTCCTCCAAGAGGGAGGTTATCAGAAAACCCACTCTAGATTGCAGCTTGGGCAATGCTAACCATAATTGGGATCTTGATGGTAGGGGCTTTGTTCTACCATGCCATAAAAGCTCGAATGATAAAGCGCATTAATACATATGGGCTTGCCAGACGATACAGTCCAATTAATTACTTATAAGTTTGCGTCTTTCTATGACACCCGAGGATGAGGATATAGGGGAGGGTGCGAGTGAGCTGTCTCTGATGATCTGAAGCAAATGGGGGAAGTCTGAGGGAACGTGCGAGAGAAAACCAATAGGGGTCCTATTTTCACGGAGCTCTGCAGAAGATCTAGCATCCCATTGGCATAGAACAGATCAGATGGATGGTCCTGGCCCCAATCTCATTCTAATCAAGAGCGGTGTGAAATTATTAAACATGTATTTTCCTTCCCTCTTCTCAAGTCGTGTTTTTCAAGTATTGTGGAACACGTTAGTGTTCACTGTTCCAGATGAGGGACTGTTGGATACGGACTTGAGCCCGTTTTAATATAATTGTTTAATTAGCCTAGCAGTAGTAATTATTGTGTTATGGGTTAGATGGAATGTTCTATATGCATTGTATATGGGCAGAGGGAAAGTATAAAGGGGGCCTGTCTCTGAGGAGCCAATTGTCTGGAGTTAGAGCTGATAATTACTGTTCTATAACACTGTCTTATATCTTTACTGTTTTATACCATTATATACCCTTAAAATGAATATACAGCACACACACATATACAGTGCAGTCGGAAAGTATTCAGACCCCTTGACTTTTTCCACATTGTTACGTTACAGCCTTATTCTAAAATGGATAAAATTGTTTTTTCTCCTCATCAATCTACACGCAATACCCCATAATGACAAAGCAAAAACAGGTTCTTAGAAATATCACATTTACATAAGTATTCAGAACCTTTACTCAGTACTTTGTTGAAGCACCTTTGGCAGCGATTACAGCCTCGAGTCTTCTTGGGTATGACACTACAAGCTTGGCACACCTGTATTTGGGGAGTTTCTCCCATTCTTCTCTGCAGATCCTCTCAAGCTCTGTCAGGTTGGATGGGGAGCGTCGCTGCACAGCTATTTTCAGGTCTCCCCAGAGATGTTCGATGGGTTCAAGTCCGGGCTCTGGCTGGGCCACTCAAGGACATTCAGAAACTTGTCCCGAAGCCACTCCTGCGTTGTCTTGGCTGTGTGCTTAGGGTCGTTGTCCTGTTGGAAGGTGAACCTTCACCCCAGTCTGAGGTCCTGAGCGCTCTGGAGCAGGATCTCTCTGTACTTTGCACCGTTCATCTTTCCCTCGATCCTGACTAGTCTCCCAATCCCTGCCGCTGAAAAACATCCCCACAGCATGATGTTGCCACCACCATGCTTCACCGTAGGGATGGTGCCAATTTTGAGTCTCATAGCAAAGGGTCTGAATACTTCTGTAAATAAGGTGTTTCTGTTTTTCATTTTTTATAAATTTGATAACATTTATAAAAACCTGTTTTTGCTTTGTCATTATGGGGTATTGTGTGCAGATTGAGGGGAAAAATGTATTTAATCAATTTTAGAATAAGGCTGTAACGTAACAAAATGTGGAAAAGGGGAAGGGTCTGAATACTTTCCGAATGCACTGTATATATTCTTAGGGATTGAAAGTCGTGTTAAGTTTAAGCTCTTTGTGTATGAGAAGAGTAATTATCTAGTGGACTGCAGTAGACTTCAAGAATATGTACTCATTAACGCAAGGCCTCTACTGACTGATAAGACCTGAGAGAGGCGTGGAGGAGTACCGGACTCAAGCTGGGACGATAACACCCCCTGCCCAGCCACAGAGACTGATTGTTCATCCTAGACCCAGAAAAGGGGTCTGTTTGGGAAGGGGGCCTAGTCGGAGGTTATAAATACATGTGCTTGTGACGTTGCATCTTGTCTTGGAAGCAACAACGCCCAGTGTGGTGAATAAATCTAGCCTGAGGTTTCTTTGGTATCCATCTGGATTATTGAACCAGAATTTAGAACCTAACAACTTGAATCGGGATACCCATTCTAGTTATTCTACTTCTATGGTCAGTACATTATAGAGCTCCATCTATGCTGGTGTACCCATAGAATAACATATAGTCATATTATTATTATAGGATCTCTATACAGGTGTACCCACCTTAAATGTGGGCAGTCTGATAGTCTTGAGCATGTAGAGACAGAAGGATATGCCCAGGGCGTCCTGTAACACCCACGCCCACCTAGGTGAGGACACAGCAGATGGAAGGAACCAGAGTTAGCCTGGCACACACACAAGCATGCACACAGTCGGTAATAGCCGGCTTTTGGCCGATAAAATAAATAAAAAGCAGATAAATAAAATCACCACAGGCCAATTGTCAAGGAGAATAAAAAAATCACATAGCAAAATACTGCTTTTTCGACTATTCATTTATGAAAATACCAGTTGATGATAAATATATTTGATCAGTCATGCTTATCAGTCTATGGGTTTATTTGCATAATTTAGTGGAATTAAATTGGTGTGTGTATTTTCATTAGTCGTTATGATTTATATTCATCACACGTGCATTTTATTCATCAGACAGCGCGAGAACTGCTGCTGGAGTGAAACATGCTTTTATAAGCCCAATCATTGCGCAACAATTCTAAATGAAATCTCATGTTAAAAACAGTTTCGATGTTTACGATTAAAAAGAGCTTCCCATTCGCCATTTAAGTGCATAGGCAACAGTAGGAAGGCTTCAGCGAGTCACACTTTACAATGCGAGTTGGAGACAAGTATATATTTTCAAAATGCATACTAATTGTGTGAAACCTGAACGTTTTACTTTATATTACATGGGTTAAAGCAACAACTAAAAAATCCCATGACTGAAACATAAGTTGTCTGGGGCCAAGTTAACCTCCCCTTTCATGTATGTAAGAAAGTCATGACTATCATGCTTTGATTCAGAGGGGTTGGATTAAATGCGAAAGACACATTTCAGTTGAATGCATTCAGTTGTACAACCCCTTTCTTTATTTATTAAACTGTGAGTTCGACCAATTCCAGTCCCCTTGCTTATGGGGTCCGGGGTCCTCCCCGTATAATTTTTATGTAGAAGGACTGAAAAGCTTATTTCTGGTGACTTTTTAAAAAGGACATTCTACTCCAAAATTTATGAAAATAAAATGGATGCCGACACCATCTAAAATATAATTTCCACCTCCAGAAATTGCTCCATTAACATATTGGTAAAAACTATGTTAAAATTATTAAGTTATTGGACCATGCATATATAGCCTATGGTCTATATTATCAGATGTGCTATTAGCAATAAGCATTATCACCTGTAGCCTAACTGATGCAGCACAGTGGCTATAAAATGTACTTAGGATGAAGCATGGGGTTTGTCCATCTGCATTTACCCCACTGGACACAACATCCTGATTGTTATATTTTTTTTACATATATTAATTATTATTCACTTGAAAAATTAGATTTTTTGGTTTCTATTTCAAAGTATGTCATTGCCCTTTTAAGATGTCATTGCCCCTTTAAGAGCTCTGTTGGGCAGCTGCACCTAAACCATTCCTGAAACTCTGGTTGTAAAACTGCATTTGTAAAACGATGCCACGCGCACAATTGAAGGAGCAGAGAAATAAACGTGGTAGCAATGTAAAACTGGGATCCCCCTCTTTTTTAACAAAGGCCAAAACTGCTTTCAAAATACATATGCCAAAACTGCTTTCAGAAGTGTTTTCCAGCGATTGCATTAAGAATTGTTGCACACAGCACTGACTGCTTGTCAGAATACATGTTTCCCTCCTATGGGTCTCCCAACTTGAATGCACCTCGAGAGGAATATTACTCTCGCATAGAACACACAACAAGCAGACTAGGTAAATAGGTCAACTATTCTACTATGGGGTTGTCTGATTTAGGTTTAATAACAACATTACATGGCAAATATAGTAGCACTGGAAAGTTACATCCTGAGTGATAATATATATATATTTTTTAAATACTTTAAGTTATGTCCCCCCCACACACTTCTAAAACCAAAGTTGCACCCCTGGATGAGACCATTTTCACATCAATAGAGACATCCAGCCTTCCAGGTAGTGTTTGAATTGGGCCTGGGGCGAGAGACTGGCTATGTCTCGATTCTCCTCCCTTTTCCAGAAGTGTGCACTTGCAATGGTGGAAAGTCCCACCAGCCAATGCTTAAACCAATCCTAAGATTTGTTAATCCATGACAGGGAGTGAGTGTTCAAGTGCACACTTCGGGAGAGGGGTGGAGAATTGGGACGTGTTGAATGTCAAAGGAAGGTCTCATGTTAACATGCTACATGTGGAAGTCATTAGGCTAAGTATAGGCTTTGAATTACTTTGCCAGCACCTACAGTAGGCTACACACCGCTGTTTGAGTTGAGCACAGCATTGGTGCGCGTTATAGACTATTTAATTCTCTTCATTTGAACATCAGTGTCAACAACAATCATGCATGTCAGTTCAGTGCACACTGCGTAAAAGAAAATACCATATTTGAGGCTGTCATATCCAATAAAATAATAGTTTAACACATTTTAAGCAAAATGTTCTGATCTGTTGCATCAGTCTTATTGCTTTTCAACCTTTTTCTTTTATGTACTGGTTGTATGAATTTGGGATATATCATTCCACAACTGTCCCGGAGTCTGTTTGGAATAGGCTATTCCTTTCTCGCACAGAAAGACAAGCTGACCAATAGAATAGGTCAACTTTTCTACTATGGGGGATAGTAGATTGACATAGGATAGTGATTTTGCTGTTTGCTACTCGTCTTGTTGGCTGAGGAAAAGTAAATGTCTTCAAAGTGAGCATCGGAATTCGGTAAGAAGAACACGCCGTTGCATCCTTGAGTTGCATGTTCGGTTAAGATTATGGGAATTAATCTAAATGTGATATGTCATTCTGCCCTAATCAGGTTACACACCCAATGCATATGGGTCCGGTAAACTTCTCAAATGTCTGGTAAATTAAAATGCTTCCGGACAAATGTCCAGCGACACATTCTCCCAACGGAAACCCTGACACACACACAGACCTCAAGAAGACTATGTTAGCCTACTGAGCTGAAACCACCTGAAGCCTATGCATTCATTAGCTCTGGGAGCTAAAGGGCTAAAGGCTAAAGCCAGTCTTCAAGTCTCAGGCAACGTTACTCATCCCTCTAGCATAGTTAACCAGTGAGACAATTGGAAGATTCCCGGAATCAGGAGAGAATAAGCAGGAAATCTGGGAATCCTTGAACCATTTTCGGAATTGCGGAATTTTGCAACCCTAATACTCACTGGTCTTTGTTGTGGAACACGCCCCTGGTGATGCTGACTGCCACATCCACCCTCCCACACTACACGCCCACAGAAACTACGCTACGCAGACGACAAACAATTCATTTTCTGATAACCAGGTGGCGAATCGCATCTCTGCATGTCTGGCAGACATATCAGTGTGGATGTCGGATCACCACTTCAAGCTGAACCTCGGCAAGATGGAGCTGCTCTTCCTCCCGGGAAAGGACTGCCCGCTCCATGATCTCGCCATCACGGTTGACAACTCCATTGTGTCCTCCTCCCAGAGTGCAAAGAACCTTGGCGTGACCCGGGACAACACCCTGTCGTTCTCCGCTAACATCAAAGCGGTGACCCGATCCTGCAGGTTCATGCTCTACAACATTCGCAGAGTACGACCCTACCTTACACAGAAAGCGGCACAGGTCCTAATCCAGGCACTTGTCATCTCCCGTCTGGATTACTGCAACTCGCTGTTGGCTGGGCTCCCTGCCTGTGCCATTAAACCTCTACAACTTATCCAGAACGCTACAGCCCGTCTGGTGTTCAACCTTCCATGGTTGACCATGGTGCTTGCCTATGGAGCTGTGAGGGGAACGGCACCTCCTTACCTTTAGGCTCTGATCAGACCCTACACCCAAACGAGGGCACTACGTTCATCCACCTCTGGCCTGCTAGCCCCCCTACCTTTCGGAAGCACAGTTCCCGCTCAACCCAGTCAAAGCTATTCGCTGCTCTGGCACCCCAATGGTGGAACAAGCTCCCCCACGATGCCAGGACAGCGGAGTCACTGACCACCTTCCGGAGACACTTGAAAACCTACCTCTTTAAGGAATACCTGGAATTGTATAAAAGTAATCCTTCTACCCCCCCCCCGCCCCATTAAAAAAAAAGTGGTTGTCCCACTGGCTATCATAAGTTGAATGCACCAATTTGTAAGTCGCTCTGGAGAAGAGCGTCTGCTAAATGACGTAAATGTAAACTCACTGGTCTTCGTTGCGGAACACGCCCCAGGTAACACTGACTCCGATGCAGAAGGCTGACAACAGCAGCATGCGGACCTGAGGCCTCTTGTGGCAGTAGGGAAGGTTGTTCTCTGGGATCCTACACACACACACACAAAACCAGGAATAAGTTAGAAGTTGGAAAAAGTTAAAAATCGACAATAGTTAGAGAAGAGTAAACTATTTGCATTGATTCAGTTTGTGTTTTTGATTGGTTGATTGTATAGGCCTACTCCTCTTGTGATTTGTGTTAGGTTGATTGGGTACTCCTTAATCTGTGATTATAAAACAGATCTTTGTTAGGTTGATATGGTAAGTCTCACCTGCACTTGCCAAAGGGGAGTCTCCTCACAAAGGGCCAGAGACAGCTGTAGAGGCCAACAGAAGAGGCCAGGCAGAATATCCCAATGATGATATACACTAAACCGACAGAGAGAGAGAGGATTAGCATACACACACAGAGAGACATGAACAGGATGGCTGTGGTTAAAGCAACAAAAAAGAAAGTCTAACTCAGATTGTCTGTGGAGCCAAGTTAACCTCCCCTTTCATGTAAAAAAGGCATGACCATCATGCTTTTAGGGAAAGAGGATTACATCTTGTACATGTATTAAACTGTGCGTTTGACCAATGCCAGTCATTTTCAATAGGAAAAAAAGAACAAATTTGACAAATCTGTTGCTGTGACGGATAACTTTAACCCCTGCAGGAAGGGCAGTGTATTTCAACTAGCTTATTATAATGTAATTACTTATTTTTTCACTGACAACTGCAAAGACAGGTAGAGAGACATGGAGAAAGGCTGAGGGAGGCAGACAGACAGACAAAAAGAGAGAGACAGAACGCTACAGGTAGAGAGACAGGTACAGACAGACAGACAAAAAGATTAGAGACAAACGGACAGCTACAGGTAGAGAGAGACAGCTACAGGTAGAGAGAGACAGCTACAGGTAGAGATAACGACAGCTACGGGTGCATATCTAGGTGTGTACCCAGGTGGTCGTAGAAGAAGTAGAGCAGCACCAGCATCGAGCAGCACATGACCACAAACATAGAGATCATGATGGGCGTCACGTCCACCGTCTCCTCATCCTCCTTCTCCGCGCTGTCGTCACGCTTGTGCTTCATGTAGCGCCTGCAGAGGGACACAACAGGGACATGTGAGGGAGGGAGGATGCCCCTGGGATGCCGAAATTGACCTCTGATCAGTAGAGGCAATTTCACTCTACCCATCTCTCGCTCTCTCCAGTCTGCTCTTAGTCACCCCAGCAATGGCCACTCAGCCTTGCAGTGTAGCTGGCGCTGTCTCGCTGGTCAACATCAATATGGAGTCACTGTAAACGACAACACCAGTCACACAGCCTTGCCCTCCACTCCACATAGAATGTCTCTTCAGACAACACAAGGATTCACTCAGCCTTGCCCTGTGACACTGCCTCCACACACAGTAGAATGGGTCTTCAGACTGCAATGCAATGGAATAACATACAACAAGATGAGAGAGATGGGTGTGTTTTCCCCAGAGATGATAACTAGGGATGTGCATCTTTCCTTTTCAAAACGACTCTATACATGGGCTCCAATACGATACAGGAACGATCTATTTTAGTTTTAAACGATTCGGCTTGATTAGAGAACGAATCGACGCACTAACATTTGTTGCATAAACACATTCATTTTCCATTCTAAATTAACATCTACAGCTGATGGAGCTCATGAGCTTGGCCTCCCTGAGCTGACTTCTGTGTGTGTGTGTGTGTGTGTGTGTGTGTGTGTGTGTGTGTGTGTGTGTGTGTGTGTGTGTGTGTGTGTGTGTGTGTGTGTGTGTGTGTGTGTGTGTGTGTGTGTGTGTGTGCGCGTAAATTATGTACAGTATGTCTACGGTGTATACTTCCAAGATGGCGTAGCAGTGCGGTCGTGTTCTTTGTTGTGTGTCCGTGTATATATATTTTTTGTATTTTTCGAACATATTTCCCTATCACACTTTCCTGCAACCCGCCTCACTCAATGTGGAACGGATTCTATTATTTACTCACCTTAATCTAGAATCTCCAGTTGAAACTAGTTAGCCAGCTAACTAGCTACTTGCTATTAGCCACCGTTAGTGGTTTTCACCCAGAACATCGGATTTTCTGACGGAATAACTGAATCACTGGACCCTAACAACGGATCGCAACTAGCTAGCCGCAACCGAATGGATGTTGCTGTAGGCTAATCACCACTGCCCCCGAAGCAAGCACCAGTTAGCCGGGATATGGGCCTGGCTCAAGGCTATCTACCTCTTTGTCTACCGGACGGGAGTGGCCCGCTAACTAGCTACTTGCTATTAGCCAACGTTAGCGGTTCTTCAACATTGTCCGTGGCCTGCACTACCTACCAGCCAGCTCTAGCCTGGACTATTATCGGCCAGTCTGCACTGTCTGCACAGCGCGTTATCGACCCAGAACATAATCAGATTTTCTGCCGGAATCACTAAAATCACTGGACCTTTCACACCTGATCATCGCAACTAGCTAGCTGCAACCAAATGGATGTTGTTGTTGGCTAATCAGCCTTGAGCTAGCCTCGAGTTAGGCACATCTCCCGGCTATCTACCTTTCTGTCAACCGGACGGGACCTCCTAGAGTCAACACGGAGCCCCGCCGATCCATCACAACTGGTCTGCCGACGTAATCGTATGTGGTTTCAACAGTCTTCTCGTTGCGACGACCACGAAGGTCCATCTGCTAGCCCCGGCATGCTAGCACACGCAAACAACAGCCGTGCTTCCTGCTCGCTGTGCTTTAGCACCAATTCAAACTGCTCTCGGACTCACATATTGCTGTTCACTGGACCTTATGCCTGCTGGACTGTTCCTTTACACGGTACCCTGTCCTGTTTATCTGTTTAGCCTCAGCCCAAACTATCATCGCCATTACCAGTTGTTGTCTTAGCTCTCTCTAATAACACATGTGATTGCTTTATGCCTCTGTCCCATGTCAATATGCCTTGCCTATTGCCTATACAATTTCAATATAGAACCCCAAGTCATTCTCAAACTGCCTCAAATAGCTCCTTTGTTCCACCCCCCATACACGCCGAGACCGGCTAAATCGGTGCCTCCAGTGATGCTAACGCTTAGGTTTACCTACACTGTACTCATATCCTTCCATATCCTTGTCTGTACAGAACGCCCTGAATCTAGTCTACAACGCCTGGAAATCTGCCCCCTTTATTCTCTGTACCCAACGCACTAGAAGACCAGTTCTTAAAGCCTTTAGCCGTATCCTTATTCTAGTCCTCCTCTGTTCCTCTGGTGATGTAGAGGCTAACCCAGGCCCTGCAGCCCCCAGTATCACTCCTACTCCCCAGGAGCTATCATTTGTTGACCTCTGTAACCGGAAAAGCCTTGGTTTTCTGCACGTTAACATCAGAAGCCTCCTTCCTAAGTTTGAGTTATTCACTGCGTTAGCACACTCTGCCAACCCTGATGTTCTAGCAGTGTCTGAATCCTGGCTTAGGAAGGCCACCAAAAATTCTGAAATTTCCATCCCCAACTACAACATTTTCCGTCTAGATAGAACTGCCAAAGGGGGTGGAGTTGCAATCTACTGTAGAGATAGCCTGCAGAGCTCCATCATACTATCCAGGTCTGTGCCCAAACAGTTTGAGCTCCTACTTCTAAAAGTCCACCTTTCCAGAAACAAGTCTCTCACTGTTGCCGCTTGCTACCGACCCCCCTCAGCCCCCAGTTGTGCCCTGGACACCATATGTGAATTGATTGCCCCCCATCTATCCTCAGAGTTTGTACTGCTTGGTGACCTAAACTGGGATATGCTTAACACCCCGGCCATCCTACAATCCAAACTAGATGCCCTCAATCTCACACAAATTATCAACGAACCTACCAGGTACAACCCTAAATCCGTAAACATGGGCACCCTCATAGATATCATCCTGACTAACTTACCCTCTAAATACACCTCCGCTGTCTTCAACCAGGATCTCAGCGATCACTGCCTTATTGCCTGCGTCCGTAACGGGTCCGCGGTCAAACGACCACCCCTCATCACTGTCAAACGCTCCCTAAAACACTTTAGCGAGCAGGCCTTCCTAATTGACCTGGCCCGGGTATCCTGGATGGATATCGATCTCATTCCGTCAGTAGAGGATGCCTGGTTGTGCTTTAAAAGTGCTTTCCTCTCAATCTTAAATAAGCATGCCCCATTCAAAAAATTCAGAACTAAGAACAGATATAGCCCCTGGTTCTCCTCAGACTTGACTGCCCTTGACCAGCACAAAAACATCCTGTGGCGTACTGCATTAGCATCGAATAGCCCCCGCGATATGCAACTTTTCAGGGAAGTTAGGAACCAATATACACAAGCAGTTAGGAAAGCGAAGGCTAGCTATTTCAAAACAGAAATGTGCATCCTGTAGCACTAACTCCAAAAAGTTTTGGGACACTGTAAAGTCCATGGAGAATAAGAGCACCTCCTCCCAGCTGCCCACTGCACCGAGGCTAGGAAACACTATCACCACCGATAAATCTACAATAATCGAGAATTTCAAAGCATTTTGCTACGGCTGGCCATGCTTTCCACCTGGCTACCACTACCCCGGCCACCAGCTCTGCACCCTCCTCTGCAACTTGCCCAATCCCCCCCCCCCCGCTTCTCCTTCACACAAATTCAGACAGCTGATGTCCTGAAAGAGCTGCAAAATCTGGACCCCTACAAATCATCTGGGCTAGACAATCTGCACCCTTTCTTTCCAAAATTAGCCGCCGAAATTGTTGCAACCCCTATTACTAGCCTGTTCAACCTCTCATTCGTAACGTCTGAGGTCCCTAGAGATTGGAAAGCTGCCGCGGTCATCCTCTTCGAAGGGGGTGACACTCTAGATCCAAACTGTTACAGACCTATATCCATCCTGCCCTGCCTTTCGAAAGTTTTTGAAAGCCAAGTTAACAAAACAGATCACTGACCACTTCGAATCCCACCGTACCTTCTCCGCTATGCAATCCGGTTTCCGAGCTGGTCATGGGTGCACCTCAGCCACGCTCAAGGTCCTAAACAATATTATAACCGCGATCGATAATAAACAGTACTGTGCAGCCGTCTTTATCGACCTGGCCAAGGCTTTCGACTCTGTCAACCACCGCATTCTTATTGGCAGACTAAATGGCCTTGGTTTCTCAAATGACTGCCTCGCCTGGTTCACCAACTACTTCTCAGATAGAGTTCAATGTGTCAAATCGGAGGGCCTGTTGTCTGGACCTATGGCAGTCTCTATGGGGGTGCCACAGGGTTCAATTCTTGGGCCGACTCTTTTCTCTGTGTATATCAATGTCGCTCTTGCTGCTGGTGACTCTCAGATCCACCTCTACGCAGACGACACCATTTTGTATACATCTGGCCCTTCATTGGACACTGTGTTAACAAACCTCCAAATGAGCTTCAATGCCATACAACACTCCTTCCGTAGCCTCCAACTGCTCTTAAACACTAGTAAAACTAAATGCATGCTCTTCAATCGAACGCTGCTGGCACCCGCCCACCCGACTAGAATCACTACTCTCGACGGGTCTGACCTAGAGTATGTGGACAACTACAAATACCTAGGTGTCTGGTTAGACTGTAAACTCTCCTTCCAGACTCACATTCAGCATCTCCAATCCAAAGTGAAATCTAGAATTGGCTTCCTATTTCGCAAGAAAGCCTCCTTCACTCATGCTGCCAAACATGCCCTCGTAAAACTGACTATCCTACCGATCCTTGACGATGTCATTTACAAAATAGCCTCCAACACTCTACTCAGCAAATTAGATGTAGTCTATCACAGTGCCATCCGTTTTGTCACCAAAGCCCCATATACTACCCACCACTGTGACCTGTACGCTCTTGTTGGCTGGTCCTCACTACATATTCGTAGCCAAACCCACTGGCTCCAGGCCATATATAAAATCACTGCTAGGCAAATCTCCGCCTTATCTTAGCTCATTAGTCACCATAGCAACACCCACCCGTAGTATGCGCTCCAGCAGGTATATCTCACTGGTCATCCCCAAAGCCAACACCTCCTTTGGCTGCCATTCCTTCCAGTTCTCTGCTGCCAATGACTGGAACGAACTACAAAAATCTCTGAAGCTGGAGACTTATCTCCCTCACTATCTTTAAGCATCAGTTGTCAGAGCAGCTTACCGATCACTGCACCTGTACACAGCCCTTCAGAAATTAGCCCACTCAACTACCTCATCCCCATATTGTTATTTATTTTGCTCATTTGCACCCCAGTATCTCTATTTGCACATCATCTCTTGCACATCTATCATTCCAGTGTTAATACTAATTGTAATTATTTTGCACTATGGCCTATTTATTGCCTTACCTCCATAACTTACTACATTTGCACAAACTGTATATATACTGACTTTATGTTTTGTTTTACCCCATATGTATCTGTGTTGTTGTTTTTAAATCGCACTGCTTTGCTTTATCTTGGCCAGGTTGCAGTTGTAAATGAGAACTTGTTCTCAACTGGCTTACCTGGTTAAATAAAGGTTAAAAAAAAGAAAAGAAAAAAAAACAACCTATGTAGGCACCTGAGCTGAGCCAAAGGGAGCGCAAACTGGCTCTAACCAGAATAGAAAGAGGAGTGGGAGGCCCCGGTGCCCAACTGAGCAAGAGGACAAATACATTAGTGTCTAGCTTGAGAAACAAATGTCTCACAGGTCCTCAACTGGCAGCTTCCTTAAATAGTACGCGCAAAACACCAGTCAACGTCAACAGTGAAGAGGCGACTCCGGGATGCTGACCTTCTAGGCAGAGTTGCAAAGAAACGCCATATCTCAGACTGCCCATCTTAATCTTTTATTGGCCAGTCTGAGATATGGCTGACATTAGTAATTTTCCAACAATTGTTTATTTCACATATAATTTTACGCCTTTTCTATAGGATTGAGGTCAGGGCTTTGTGATGGCCACTCCAATACCTTGACTTTGTTGTCCTTAAGCCATTTTGCCACAACTTTGGAAGTATGCTTGGGGTCATTGTCCATTTGGAAGACCCATTTGCGACCAAGCTTTAACTTCCTGACTGATATCTTGAGATGTTGCTTCAATATATCCACATAATTTTCCTTCCTCATGATGCCATCTATTTTGTGAAGTGCACCAGTCCCTCCTGCAGCAAAGCACCCCCACAGCATGATGCTGCCACCCCCGTGCTTCACGGTTGGGATGGTGTTCTTCGGCTTGCAAGCAGCCCCCTTTTTCCTACAAACATAACGATGGTCATTATGGCCAAACAGTTCTATTTTTGTTTCATCAGATGAGAGGACATTTCTCCAAAAAGTACGATCTTTGTCCCCATGTGCAGTTGCAATGCGTAGTCTGGCTTTTTTATGGCGGTTTTGGAGCAGTGGCTTCTTCCTTGCTGAGCGGCCTTTCAGGTTATGTCGATATAGGACTCGTTTTACTGTGGATACAAAGAGGCACTGAGTTTGAAGTTAGGCCTTGAAATACATCCATAGGTACACCTCCAATTGACTCAAATGATGTCAATTAGCCTATCAGAAGCTTCTAAAGCCATGACATCATTTTCTGGTATTTTCCAAGCTGTTTAAAGGCACAGTCAACTTAGTGTATGTAAACTTCTGACCCACTGGAATTGTGATACAGTGAATTATAAGTGAAATAATCTGTCTGTAAACAATTGTTGGAAAAATTACTTGTGTCATGCAAAGTAGATGTCCTAACCGAGTTGCCAAAACTATAGTTTGTTAAAAATAAATTTGTGGAGTGGTTGAAAAATGAGTTTTAATGACTCCAACCTAAGTGTATGTAAACTTCCGACTTCAACTGTATGTATGTGTATGTATATATATATCTATTGGTGAGCGACTACTGTTTAATGTCTGCCACACTTACTTCTTGATGTCCTTGCTGCTACAACTACCACCACCAGACTACTGCCAGTCTTACTTCTTGATGTCCTTGCTGCCGGCCCAGTATCCTCCGATGGCCACCGTCCCCACAGCCATGAGGAAGATGATGACCATGTTGTAGTCCAGGAAGGGCTCGCTGGGGGCGTACATGGCCACCTCTCGGCTCTGTCCAAACGTCTGCAGGGGACAGGAACATGGCATTTGGGTCAATTGATTGATATTTGTTAGTTAAGTTAGTTACAAACATGAAGTTTGTTTGAACAGGGTCACATACAGGAGGATACAACATACCAACCGTGGCAGATAGAAATGTCATAAATAGAACTGACCTGGTACATTACCCTCAATGTTTACTCTACATGTCAGAGGTATCTCTGATCTATAGGATATATTTGTAACTGAACATTGCACAACCCAACGTTGTGCCCTGGTGAACAGTGTCGATGTAGCCTGGTCCCAGATCTGTTTGTGCCATCATTCTACTCCTTGACACTCCTTGTCATCCCAAACAAGCATGATGGCCAAAACAGACTGGTACCCAGGCTAATATTGGTTGGTCTCTCCTCTCACCTTACTGATGTCCAGCATGTCAGTGTAGCTGAGCAGCGCCACAGGGATGTCAATCTCCTCATACTGAGTCTTGTTTCCTGCTGGTGGGGTCTGTGATAGGAAAAACAGAAATGAATTAGCAAATACTGTACAGAACAGAAAGCCTTTCGGAAATCTACTAGGACAGACGATGACCTACAGTCACCTCCAAAATAATTGGCACTCTTGATAAAGATGACCAAAAATACAGTATAAAATAAATAGTAGTGCGCTATATTGTATGCTAAAATTATATTATTTTATACTAATACAATTGCTCAGAGAAATATATTTTGTTTAACAATTAATACCAACAAAAAAAAAATAGGTGTCAAAATTATTGGCAGCCCTGTTTTTAATACTCCGGCACCCTCCCGTTGCGAGGATACCGGGACTGAGTCTTTTTCTAAAATATTTCATGAGATTGGAGAACACATGGGGAGGGATCTTAGACCATTCCTTCATACAGAATCTTTCCAGATCCTTGATATCCTTCAGTCTGCGCTTATGGACTGCCCTCTTCCATTTAAACCACAGATTTAACATCAGGTTCAAGTCCGGAGCCTGAGATGGCCATTGCAAAATGTTGATTTTGTGGTCAATTAACCATTTCATTGTGGATTTTGAAGTGTGCTTGGGGTTATTGATCCACAAGTTTCAGCCTCCTGGCAGAGGCAGCCAGGTTTTTGGCTAAAATGTCCTGGTACTTGGTAGAGTTCCTGATGCCGTTGACCTTAACAAGGGCCCCAGGACCAGTCGAAGCAAAACAGCCCCATTACATCAAAAGATCCACCACCATATTTTACAGTAGGTATGAGGTTCTTTCCTGCATCCTTATTTTGATGCCAAACCCACCACTGGTGTGCATGGCCAAAGAGATCTATGTTCAGGTCATCTGACCATAGCACCGGTTCCAATCCAAGTGTCAATTCCATTTAGCAAACTCCAGGCGTTTACATTTGTTGGTTGCTCTCAATAAAGGCTATTTTTCTGGCAACCCTTCCAAAAAGCCTATTGGCATGGAGGTGGCATCTAATTGTAGATTTGATTTTGAGACTTAGTGACACAAAGATGCGACCAAGTTCTGTAATTCTCCAACTTTGGCCCTTGGATTTTTCGTTGACTCCCAAACCATCTTCACTTTGCGTAGGGACACTTGCGTCCAATCCAAGGCAAGTTTACCACTGTTCCAGTGGTTTTAACCTTCTTAATTGTTGCCCTAATAGTGGTAAGTGGTATATTTGTTTGTTTCTTATTAGCAATTTTTGTTGTACCCATTGCCTGATTTATGAAAGTGAACAACCATTTGGTCTCTTCTTTGCCTTTTCTCACGGGGATGGATGACATACAGTGGGGGGGAAAAGTATTTAGTCAGCCACCAATTGTGCAAGTTCTCCCACTTAAAAAGATTAGAGAGGCCTGTAATTTTCATCATAGGTACACGTCAATTATGACAGACAAAATGAGAAAAAAAAATCCAGAAAATCCCATTGTAGGATTTTTAATGAATTTATTTGCAAATTATGGTGGAAAATAAGTATTTGGTCACCTACAAACAAGCAAGATTTCTGGCTCTCACAGACCTGTAACTTCTTCTTTAAGAGGCTCCTCTGTCCTCCACTCGTTACCTGTATTAATGGCACCTGTTTGAACTTGTTATCAGTATAAAAGACACCTGTCCACAACCTCAAACAGTCACACTCCAAACTCCACTATGGCCAAGACCAAAGAGCTGTCAAAGGACACCAGAAACAAAATTGTAGACTTGCACCAGGCTGGGAAGACTGAATCTGCAATAGGTAAGCAGGTTGGTTTGAAGAAATCAACTGTGGGAGCAATTATTAGGAAACGGAAGACATACAAGACCACTGATAATCTCCCTCAATCTGGGGCTCCACGCAAGATCTCACCCCGTGGGGTCAAAATGATCACAAGAACGGTGAGCAAAAATCCCAGAACCACACGGGGGGACCTAGTGAATGACCTGCAGAGAGCTGGGACCAAAGTAACAAAGCCTACCATCAGTAACACACTACGCCGCCAGGGACTCAAATCCTGCAGTGCGAGACGTGTCCCCCTGCTTAAGCCAGTACATGTCCAGGCCCGTCTGAAGTGCATTTGGATGATCCAGAAGAGGATTGGGAGAATGTCATATGGTCAGATGAAACCAAAATATAACTTTTTGGTAAAAACTCAACTCGTCATGTTTGGAGGACAAAGAATGCTGAGTTGCATCCAAAGAACACCATACCTACTGTGAAGCATGGGGGTGGAAACATCATGCTTTTGGGCTGTTTTTTCTGCAAAGGGACCAGGACGACTGATCCGTGTAAAGGAAAGAATGAATGGGGCCATGTTTTGTGAGATTTTGAGTGAAAACCTCCTTCCATCAGCAAGGGCATTGAAGATGAAACGTGGCTGGGTCTTTCAGCATGACAATGATCCCAAACACACCGCCCGGGCAACGAAGGAGTGGCTTCGTAAGAAGCATTTCAAGGTCCTGGAGTGGCCTAGCCAGTCTCCAGATATCAACCCCATAGAAAATCTTTGGAGGGAGTTGAAAGTCCGTGTTGCCCAGTGACAGCCCCAAAACATCACTGCTCTAGAGGAGATCTGCATGGAGGAATGGGCCAAAATACAAGCAACAGTGTGTGAAAACCTTGTGAAGACTTACAGAAAACGTTTGACCTGTGTCATTGCCAACAAAGGGTATATAACAAAGTATTGAGAAACTTTTGTTATTGACCAAATACTTATTTGCCACCATAATTTGCAAATAAATTCATTAAAAAATCCTACAATGTGATTTTCTGGATTTTTTTCTCTCATTTTGTCTGTCATAGTTGACGTGTACCTATGATGAAAATTACAGGCCTCTCATCTTTTTAAGTGGGAGAACTTGCACAATTGGTGGCTGACTAAATACTTTTTTCCCCCACTCTACGTTGTAAACTCAGCAAAAAAAGAAAACGTCCTCTCACTGTCAACTGCGTTTATTTTCAGCAAACTTAACATGTGTAAATATTTGTATAAACATAACAAGATTCAACAACTGAGGGGGGGGGGTCAAATCCAAAGTAACAGTCAGTATCTGGTGTGGCCACCAGCTGCATTAAGTACTGCAGTGCATCTCCTCCTCATGGACTGCACCAGATTTGCCAGTTCTTGCTGTGAGATGTTACCCCACTCTTCCACCAAGGCACCTGCAAGTTCCCGGACATTTTTGGGGGAATGGCCCTAGCCCTCACCCTCCGATCCAACAGGTCCCAGACGTGCTCAATGGGATTGAGATCCGGGCTCTTCGCTGGCCATGGCAGAACACTGACATTCCTGTCTGCAGGAAATCACGCACACAAATGAGCAGTATGGCTGTGGCATGCAGCTGGAGGGTATGTCAGATGAGCTGCAGGAGGTACCACGTGGGGAGGAGGATCTCCAATCCAAAGTGAAATCTAGAATTGGCTTCCTATTTCGCAAGAAAGCCTCCTTCACTCATGCTGCCAAACATGCCCTCGTAAAACTGACTATCCTACCGATCCTTGACGATGTCATTTACAAAATAGCCTCCAACACTCTACTCAGCAAATTAGATGTAGTCTATCACAGTGCCATCCGTTTTGTCACCAAAGCCCCATATACTACCCACCACTGTGACCTGTACGCTCTTGTTGGCTGGTCCTCACTACATATTCGTAGCCAAACCCACTGGCTCCAGGCCATATATAAAATCACTGCTAGGCAAATCTCCGCCTTATCTTAGCTCATTAGTCACCATAGCAACACCCACCCGTAGTATGCGCTCCAGCAGGTATATCTCACTGGTCATCCCCAAAGCCAACACCTCCTTTGGCTGCCATTCCTTCCAGTTCTCTGCTGCCAATGACTGGAACGAACTACAAAAATCTCTGAAGCTGGAGACTTATCTCCCTCACTATCTTTAAGCATCAGTTGTCAGAGCAGCTTACCGATCACTGCACCTGTACACAGCCCTTCAGAAATTAGCCCACTCAACTACCTCATCCCCATATTGTTATTTATTTTGCTCATTTGCACCCCAGTATCTCTATTTGCACATCATCTCTTGCACATCTATCATTCCAGTGTTAATACTAATTGTAATTATTTTGCACTATGGCCTATTTATTGCCTTACCTCCATAACTTACTACATTTGCACAAACTGTATATATACTGACTTTATGTTTTGTTTTACCCCATATGTATCTGTGTTGTTGTTTTTAAATCGCACTGCTTTGCTTTATCTTGGCCAGGTTGCAGTTGTAAATGAGAACTTGTTCTCAACTGGCTTACCTGGTTAAATAAAGGTTAAAAAAAAGAAAAGAAAAAAAAACAACCTATGTAGGCACCTGAGCTGAGCCAAAGGGAGCGCAAACTGGCTCTAACCAGAATAGAAAGAGGAGTGGGAGGCCCCGGTGCCCAACTGAGCAAGAGGACAAATACATTAGTGTCTAGCTTGAGAAACAAATGTCTCACAGGTCCTCAACTGGCAGCTTCCTTAAATAGTACGCGCAAAACACCAGTCAACGTCAACAGTGAAGAGGCGACTCCGGGATGCTGACCTTCTAGGCAGAGTTGCAAAGAAACGCCATATCTCAGACTGCCCATCTTAATCTTTTATTGGCCAGTCTGAGATATGGCTGACATTAGTAATTTTCCAACAATTGTTTATTTCACATATAATTTTACGCCTTTTCTATAGGATTGAGGTCAGGGCTTTGTGATGGCCACTCCAATACCTTGACTTTGTTGTCCTTAAGCCATTTTGCCACAACTTTGGAAGTATGCTTGGGGTCATTGTCCATTTGGAAGACCCATTTGCGACCAAGCTTTAACTTCCTGACTGATATCTTGAGATGTTGCTTCAATATATCCACATAATTTTCCTTCCTCATGATGCCATCTATTTTGTGAAGTGCACCAGTCCCTCCTGCAGCAAAGCACCCCCACAGCATGATGCTGCCACCCCCGTGCTTCACGGTTGGGATGGTGTTCTTCGGCTTGCAAGCAGCCCCCTTTTTCCTACAAACATAACGATGGTCATTATGGCCAAACAGTTCTATTTTTGTTTCATCAGATGAGAGGACATTTCTCCAAAAAGTACGATCTTTGTCCCCATGTGCAGTTGCAATGCGTAGTCTGGCTTTTTTATGGCGGTTTTGGAGCAGTGGCTTCTTCCTTGCTGAGCGGCCTTTCAGGTTATGTCGATATAGGACTCGTTTTACTGTGGATACAAAGAGGCACTGAGTTTGAAGTTAGGCCTTGAAATACATCCATAGGTACACCTCCAATTGACTCAAATGATGTCAATTAGCCTATCAGAAGCTTCTAAAGCCATGACATCATTTTCTGGTATTTTCCAAGCTGTTTAAAGGCACAGTCAACTTAGTGTATGTAAACTTCTGACCCACTGGAATTGTGATACAGTGAATTATAAGTGAAATAATCTGTCTGTAAACAATTGTTGGAAAAATTACTTGTGTCATGCAAAGTAGATGTCCTAACCGAGTTGCCAAAACTATAGTTTGTTAAAAATAAATTTGTGGAGTGGTTGAAAAATGAGTTTTAATGACTCCAACCTAAGTGTATGTAAACTTCCGACTTCAACTGTATGTATGTGTATGTATATATATATCTATTGGTGAGCGACTACTGTTTAATGTCTGCCACACTTACTTCTTGATGTCCTTGCTGCTACAACTACCACCACCAGACTACTGCCAGTCTTACTTCTTGATGTCCTTGCTGCCGGCCCAGTATCCTCCGATGGCCACCGTCCCCACAGCCATGAGGAAGATGATGACCATGTTGTAGTCCAGGAAGGGCTCGCTGGGGGCGTACATGGCCACCTCTCGGCTCTGTCCAAACGTCTGCAGGGGACAGGAACATGGCATTTGGGTCAATTGATTGATATTTGTTAGTTAAGTTAGTTACAAACATGAAGTTTGTTTGAACAGGGTCACATACAGGAGGATACAACATACCAACCGTGGCAGATAGAAATGTCATAAATAGAACTGACCTGGTACATTACCCTCAATGTTTACTCTACATGTCAGAGGTATCTCTGATCTATAGGATATATTTGTAACTGAACATTGCACAACCCAACGTTGTGCCCTGGTGAACAGTGTCGATGTAGCCTGGTCCCAGATCTGTTTGTGCCATCATTCTACTCCTTGACACTCCTTGTCATCCCAAACAAGCATGATGGCCAAAACAGACTGGTACCCAGGCTAATATTGGTTGGTCTCTCCTCTCACCTTACTGATGTCCAGCATGTCAGTGTAGCTGAGCAGCGCCACAGGGATGTCAATCTCCTCATACTGAGTCTTGTTTCCTGCTGGTGGGGTCTGTGATAGGAAAAACAGAAATGAATTAGCAAATACTGTACAGAACAGAAAGCCTTTCGGAAATCTACTAGGACAGACGATGACCTACAGTCACCTCCAAAATAATTGGCACTCTTGATAAAGATGACCAAAAATACAGTATAAAATAAATAGTAGTGCGCTATATTGTATGCTAAAATTATATTATTTTATACTAATACAATTGCTCAGAGAAATATATTTTGTTTAACAATTAATACCAACAAAAAAAAAATAGGTGTCAAAATTATTGGCAGCCCTGTTTTTAATACTCCGGCACCCTCCCGTTGCGAGGATACCGGGACTGAGTCTTTTTCTAAAATATTTCATGAGATTGGAGAACACATGGGGAGGGATCTTAGACCATTCCTTCATACAGAATCTTTCCAGATCCTTGATATCCTTCAGTCTGCGCTTATGGACTGCCCTCTTCCATTTAAACCACAGATTTAACATCAGGTTCAAGTCCGGAGCCTGAGATGGCCATTGCAAAATGTTGATTTTGTGGTCAATTAACCATTTCATTGTGGATTTTGAAGTGTGCTTGGGGTTATTGATCCACAAGTTTCAGCCTCCTGGCAGAGGCAGCCAGGTTTTTGGCTAAAATGTCCTGGTACTTGGTAGAGTTCCTGATGCCGTTGACCTTAACAAGGGCCCCAGGACCAGTCGAAGCAAAACAGCCCCATTACATCAAAAGATCCACCACCATATTTTACAGTAGGTATGAGGTTCTTTCCTGCATCCTTATTTTGATGCCAAACCCACCACTGGTGTGCATGGCCAAAGAGATCTATGTTCAGGTCATCTGACCATAGCACCGGTTCCAATCCAAGTGTCAATTCCATTTAGCAAACTCCAGGCGTTTACATTTGTTGGTTGCTCTCAATAAAGGCTATTTTTCTGGCAACCCTTCCAAAAAGCCTATTGGCATGGAGGTGGCATCTAATTGTAGATTTGATTTTGAGACTTAGTGACACAAAGATGCGACCAAGTTCTGTAATTCTCCAACTTTGGCCCTTGGATTTTTCGTTGACTCCCAAACCATCTTCACTTTGCGTAGGGACACTTGCGTCCAATCCAAGGCAAGTTTACCACTGTTCCAGTGGTTTTAACCTTCTTAATTGTTGCCCTAATAGTGGTAAGTGGTATATTTGTTTGTTTCTTATTAGCAATTTTTGTTGTACCCATTGCCTGATTTATGAAAGTGAACAACCATTTGGTCTCTTCTTTGCCTTTTCTCACGGGGATGGATGACATACAGTGGGGGGGAAAAGTATTTAGTCAGCCACCAATTGTGCAAGTTCTCCCACTTAAAAAGATTAGAGAGGCCTGTAATTTTCATCATAGGTACACGTCAATTATGACAGACAAAATGAGAAAAAAAAATCCAGAAAATCCCATTGTAGGATTTTTAATGAATTTATTTGCAAATTATGGTGGAAAATAAGTATTTGGTCACCTACAAACAAGCAAGATTTCTGGCTCTCACAGACCTGTAACTTCTTCTTTAAGAGGCTCCTCTGTCCTCCACTCGTTACCTGTATTAATGGCACCTGTTTGAACTTGTTATCAGTATAAAAGACACCTGTCCACAACCTCAAACAGTCACACTCCAAACTCCACTATGGCCAAGACCAAAGAGCTGTCAAAGGACACCAGAAACAAAATTGTAGACTTGCACCAGGCTGGGAAGACTGAATCTGCAATAGGTAAGCAGGTTGGTTTGAAGAAATCAACTGTGGGAGCAATTATTAGGAAACGGAAGACATACAAGACCACTGATAATCTCCCTCAATCTGGGGCTCCACGCAAGATCTCACCCCGTGGGGTCAAAATGATCACAAGAACGGTGAGCAAAAATCCCAGAACCACACGGGGGGACCTAGTGAATGACCTGCAGAGAGCTGGGACCAAAGTAACAAAGCCTACCATCAGTAACACACTACGCCGCCAGGGACTCAAATCCTGCAGTGCGAGACGTGTCCCCCTGCTTAAGCCAGTACATGTCCAGGCCCGTCTGAAGTGCATTTGGATGATCCAGAAGAGGATTGGGAGAATGTCATATGGTCAGATGAAACCAAAATATAACTTTTTGGTAAAAACTCAACTCGTCATGTTTGGAGGACAAAGAATGCTGAGTTGCATCCAAAGAACACCATACCTACTGTGAAGCATGGGGGTGGAAACATCATGCTTTTGGGCTGTTTTTCTGCAAAGGGACCAGGACGACTGATCCGTGTAAAGGAAAGAATGAATGGGGCCATGTTTTGTGAGATTTTGAGTGAAAACCTCCTTCCATCAGCAAGGGCATTGAAGATGAAACGTGGCTGGGTCTTTCAGCATGACAATGATCCCAAACACACCGCCCGGGCAACGAAGGAGTGGCTTCGTAAGAAGCATTTCAAGGTCCTGGAGTGGCCTAGCCAGTCTCCAGATATCAACCCCATAGAAAATCTTTGGAGGGAGTTGAAAGTCCGTGTTGCCCAGTGACAGCCCCAAAACATCACTGCTCTAGAGGAGATCTGCATGGAGGAATGGGCCAAAATACAAGCAACAGTGTGTGAAAACCTTGTGAAGACTTACAGAAAACGTTTGACCTGTGTCATTGCCAACAAAGGGTATATAACAAAGTATTGAGAAACTTTTGTTATTGACCAAATACTTATTTGCCACCATAATTTGCAAATAAATTCATTAAAAAATCCTACAATGTGATTTTCTGGATTTTTTTCTCTCATTTTGTCTGTCATAGTTGACGTGTACCTATGATGAAAATTACAGGCCTCTCATCTTTTTAAGTGGGAGAACTTGCACAATTGGTGGCTGACTAAATACTTTTTTCCCCCACTCTACGTTGTAAACTCAGCAAAAAAAGAAAACGTCCTCTCACTGTCAACTGCGTTTATTTTCAGCAAACTTAACATGTGTAAATATTTGTATAAACATAACAAGATTCAACAACTGAGGGGGGGGGTCAAAATCCAAAGTAACAGTCAGTATCTGGTGTGGCCACCAGCTGCATTAAGTACTGCAGTGCATCTCCTCCTCATGGACTGCACCAGATTTGCCAGTTCTTGCTGTGAGATGTTACCCCACTCTTCCACCAAGGCACCTGCAAGTTCCCGGACATTTTTGGGGGGAATGGCCCTAGCCCTCACCCTCCGATCCAACAGGTCCCAGACGTGCTCAATGGGATTGAGATCCGGGCTCTTCGCTGGCCATGGCAGAACACTGACATTCCTGTCTTGCAGGAAATCACGCACACAATGAGCAGTATGGCTGGTGGCATTGTCATGCTGGAGGGTCATGTCAGGATGAGCCTGCAGGAAGGGTACCACGTGAGGGAGGAGGATGTCTTCCCTGTAACGCACAGCGTTGAGATTGCATGCAATGACAACAAGCTCAGTCCGATGATGCTGTGACACACCGCCCCAGACCATGACGGACCCTGCACCTCCAAATCAATCCCGCTCCAGAGTACAGGCCTCGGTGTAACGCTCATTCCTTTGACGATAAACGCCAATCCGACCATCACCCCTGGTGAGACAAAACCACGACTCGTCAGTGAAAAGCACTTTTTGCTAGTCCTGTCTGGTCCAGCGACGGTGGGTTTGTGCCCATAGGCAACGTTGTTGCCGGTGATGTCTGGTGAGGACCTGCCATACAACAGGCCTACAAGCCCTCAGTCCAGCCTCTCTCAGCCTATTGCGGACAGTCTGAGCACTGATGGAGGGATTGTGCGTTCCTGGTGTAACTCGGGCAGTTGTTGTTGCCATCCTGTACCTGTCCCACAGGTGTGATGTTCGGATGTACCGATCCTGTGCAGGTGTTGTTACACGTGGTCTGCCACTGCGAGGACGATCAGCTGTCCGTCCTGTATCCCTGTAGTGCTGTCTTAGGCGTCTCACAGAATGGACATTGCAATTTATTGCCCTGGCCACATCTGCAGTCCTCATGTTTCCTTGCAGCATGCCTAAGGCACGTTCACGCAGATGAGCAGGGACCCTGGGCATCTTTCTTTTGGTGTTTTTCAGAGTCAGTAGAAAGGCCTCTTTAGTGTCCTAAGTTTTCATAACTGTCACCTTAATTGCCTACCGTCTGTAAGCTGTTAGTGTCTTAACGAACATTCCACAGGTGCATGGGAAACAGTGTTTAAACCATTTACAATGAAGATCTGTGAAGTTATTTGGATTTCTACGAATTATCTTTAAAAGACTAGGTCCAGAAAAAAGGGACGTTTCTTTTTTTGCTGAGTTTACATGCGTGTTACCATTTGCCTGTCTTCTTTGCCTTTTCTCATGGTGATGGATGACATACGTTGTACATGCGTTACCTCATTTTTATACCCCCAGTGAAACGGGAAGGCATGGAAGGCCACAATACAGTACAAACAGAGATTACATTTTTATAAAGTAGAATATTATAGCAGATTTAATTTTGTTTGATTTAATTTATAAGAATCTTTAGGGGTGCCAATAAAATCTCTTTCTCTGAGCAATTGTATTACTATAATAAAATATTATTTAAAAAAAATTGTTGCATACAATATAGCTCAGTATTTATATTATTTATTTATACAGTCTTTTTTGCTCATCTTTATCAAGGGTGCCAATAATTTGTGGTGACTGTATATAACCTGAATACTAAGGTGTGTCCCAATGCTCTTATTCTGCTCCTCTCCTTCCAAGCCTATTAGAACTGCAGTAGTGAAGTTCAAAGGGAACAGGAGAGCTAGCTAAAGCACATAGACAAGTCTGGAACCACAAGGCTAATATGATAGGACTTGACTCCTACCAGCCTGTTTACTGAATGATATGGTTTGAATCTTACCAGCCTGTCTATGCTATGAGTTGTCTCTTACCAGCTTGTCTTTGCTGAATAATATGATTTCACTCTTACCAGCCTGTCTTTGCTGAATGATATGACCAGTAATGTAGAGGTAAACGCTGATTGCATTCGCTGTATGTAAAGTAGAGCTCCCTATACTTTCAATGCCTTTTTTTGCAAAAGGTGGGTAAACGCTTGTGCAGAATAAATGGTTTTACCCTCCACTACACCCTTGGATATGACTCTTACCAGCCTCTTTGAAGAATTATATGGTTTGACTCTTACCAGCCTGTCTTTGCTGATGATGAGCAGGCCTTTAGCTCCGTTAAGCTGGGCCAGGCGGACCTTCTCATAGAAAGTGCAGTTCCCCCTCATTACCATGGGGATACGATTGGGGAAGCCCCCCACGGGGACGTCCGACGAGGAACACAGGGCTGACGGTGTCAGGTCATAGATCTGGAGATGGGACTGGAGACAAAGGATAGGTTAATAATGGGTGCCGCTCGCAATATTTCATCATGCACACACATCAGTATTCTGATGAACTTGTCAGGGCAGCTGTATTTTGAGATTATCCACCAGAGAGCGCACACACAAATGTTTGTCCAACATTGCTCAAGAAGTGACAATGACTTAGTAGTCATAAGTTAGGTTAGGTTACTCCACCACTTACTGCTTTGTTGAGGTCCAGAGGTAGACGAGCCCACTGGGAGTTGAAGAAGATGCAGTAATCTTTTCCTTTGCTCTGGCCTTTGTTTCTGAAATGAGCCATGCCATATTCCCCCACAACCTGGCATGAGAGAATGAAAATGTATAACAGATAGTGCCTTAAAGAGGGGTGAGAGCAACAAACATAGATGTGACAGAACAACTTGTTTCATAGACTGGCCTAGGATAAAGTAATCATTCTACCGAGTGGCGCAGTGGTCTAAGGCACTGCATCGCAGTGCTAGCTGTGCCACTAGAGATCCTGGTTCGAATCCAGGCTCTGTCGTAGCCGGCCACGACCGGGAGACCCATGGGGCGGCACACAATTTGCCCAGCGTCGTCCAGGTTAGGGGAGGGAATGGCCGGCAGGGATGTAGCTCAGTTGGTAGAGCATTTGTTTCCCACGGGGGGCCAGTATAAAAAAGAATGTATGCACTCACTAACTGTAAGTCGCTCTGGATAAGAGTTTCTGCTAAATGACTAAAATGTACCCCCCCTTACCCCAAACCAAAGAAGAAGAAAAAAAAAAAATATATATATATATATAGATAGTAAAGTGGTTGTCCCACTGGCAATCATAAGGTGAATGCACCAATTTGTATGTCGCTCTGGATAAGAGCGTCTGCTAAATGACGAAAATGAAATGAATGAAGCTCAGTCTGAACCAGTGGAGGCTGCTGAGGGGAGGATGGCTCATTCCAGACATTATTATGAGCCGTCCTCCCCTCAGCAACCCCCACTGATCTGAACATTAACACCCATCTCGTGGTACGGTTTTGGAAGCAAAAGGACCATATCCTTCATAGCTCAGTTGGTAGAGCATGGCGTTTGCAATGCCAGGGTTGTGGGTTCGTTTCCCATGGGGAACCAGTATGAAGAAAAAAAAAGTATGCACTCACTAACTGTAAGTCGCTCTGGATAAGAGCGTCTGCTAAATGACTAAAATGTAAATGTAATATAAGCAAGAATTTTTTTTTAAACTACAGGTTAAATTGATACACACTTTTATAGGGTTAGTGTTCCCACACAGCCATATCTCCATGTTACAGCGCGTTTACGGAAGACAGACAGAAGACAGAGGGACCACCTGTGCTAATTAGCTATCTAGCATGCTCCGAACACCTGGGTAACAGAAGAAGCGGTTTTAACACTGTACAATAAGTGTATATTTTGCATTTGGCAAATTATTTTGATGTGATATTAAAGTAAAGGGCTTTATGTTTCTAGAACGGTATCGCAATTGAGAATCGATTGACGTTTAGATGGAGTATTTGGCTGTTTTGGCTGCCAGAGCCAGTCTACCTCTGAAAATAACAAGGTCATTGGACCTTAAAGTGGCAATCAGCATTAGAAACAATAACAAAGGTGATCCCCGCCCCTGTTTCGGTAAAATGCTGATGGCTAGGGCTGGAGAAATGTAACCACCCTCAAATTCATAGACAGACCTTGTACATTTCAGGTAAAATAACAGCCCAATGTTTATTTCCCAGGACAAATTAGCTAGCAACAGCAAGTTGTTAGCTAAATTGCCATACATGTTTAATGCTTTTCGACCTGTCCCCAAGTTAATATAGTTGGTTCAGAGTTCGTTTTGATATTTCAACCTGCGTGTCCTTGATCGCGTCTGGTGTGGGGGGAAAAAATCTACATGCACGCTGACAATATTTGGTAGGCGCAAAGCGATGCGGTACAGAGCTAGATTTGGCCTTTGCAAGCATCTGGAGGCTCCGCAATTGCGTCAAACCCTCCGTATGGCGCCTCCGGTTCGCATTTCCAGATCAAGCATAAACTAGCTTTAAGACTGGCCACACTTAACGTTAACTGTGGGTGCAATATTGCATATTTCCACCACCAGTTTACGTTAGCTAACTAGCTTTACTCTTATGCACAAGTTTAGCTAGACAATTTCCCAAACTGATAATACCCGCAAAAACGATATGAGAGGCGTCTAAACGTTTAGGAAATTAATCTTAAACCACCGCGATACTTTAAAAAAAGGATCAAAGTCATGTTACATAAGGATTTACAGACTATGTCTTGCAGATAGGCCCTAGCTAGGAATATTCTTAGCTCCCTACTGACTGTACTCAATCGTTGGTGATCTCCGCAAGCTAACAGTTTTGTATGAGAGCACGCAAGCTAATTACCTCAACAACAAAGTACAAGTACTGACTGTTTAGATAAGCCACATTATCTTGGGTGAATAGACATGAGACCAATCTCACCTGTTTTATGAGAAAAACTGCCCAAACCAGGCTTCGCGAAGCCTTCATGTTGCCAAGCTTGTTGTTGTCTCCCCATTAACCGCACTGCTCGGGTCCGGTTGTCACACAATTATGGCTAAACCCCGCCTATTTCTAAAAAGTATCTTCTTAAAATCTGATTTTAAACTTAACCTTAACTACCCTTCTAACCTTAAATTAAGACACAAAAGCTCATTTTAGTTTTCATGAACTTTTACGATACCCACTGCTCAGCACACACATTGCTGCCACCAGCTGTTTTGCCAGCTCCCGCCCATATTATCCAATGCGTTTGTCATTGGTTAATTTGGATCCAGCGCCGAGGTACATACATTTTGATTGGATTACATGGATGTCAATTAAATTATTGCGATAAAATCCAGAGGTTTTCTGTCAGCATACTAGCTAAAGATGTGATTTACAATATATTGAGGCCTTAAAAAGGGTCTAAATATAGGCAAAATGTTATTGAATGTATATAGAACCAACTTGAAACAGCTGAGAGAAATAGATTATTTTAGCTTTTTCCGGGTCAGAGGTTAGAGTTCGAAAGGCGTGGCTGGAACAGGTTAAAAATGGCGGTGAGTCAGTCGTATCTTCCATAAACTTTTCTAAAACGTCTTTAGCTATTTATTGTCTATTTTATGTTATTTACTTAGCAATTGAAAATACGTGTCTCTTTCAATCTAGCTACAGTTTTCTGGTAACAAGCAAGTGCAAGAAAGAGCAGAGTAGAGATATTTGATAGCGTGCTGTTTAGACTGCATCGTGTTGTCAATGAAACCCACAAAGAAAAGAAAATAATCCACTCACTTGAATATATCACTTGAAACCCTGTTAGGACGTTGCAGAAGACGACAATATATTCAGCAAAACGTGCAACATAAGAAAATGCCGTATAGACATCATTAAAAAAAAAACATAAGCATCAATTTAAGGCACTGCATCGCAGTGCTAGCTGTGCCACTAAGTCGCTCTGGATAAGAGCGTCTGCTAAATGACTAAAATGTAAATGTAAATGTAGAGATCCTGGTTCGAATCCAGGCTCTGTCGTAGCCGGGCGCGACCGGGAGACCCATGGGGCGGCGCACAATTGGCCCAGCGTCGTCCAGGGTAGGGGAGGGAATGGCCGGCAGGGATGTAGCTCAGTTGGTAGAGCATGGCATTTGTAATGCCAGGGTTGTGGGTTCGATTCCAGTATATAAAAATGTATGCACTCACTAACTGTAAGTCGCTCTGGATAAGAGCGTCTGCTAAATGACTAAAAATGTAAAAAAATGGGCGGCAGGTAGCTTAGTGGTTAAGAGCATTGTGCCAGTAACCTGGTTCTAATCCCCAAGCCGACTAGGTGAACAATCTGTCGATGTGCCCTTGAGCAAGGCACTTAACCCTAATTGCTTCTGTAAATCGCTCTGGATAACAGCGTCTGCTAAATATATAAAAAATAAAATATATGAACTCAAGCTGTCTGAGAATGATGGGCATCTACTACAAAACAGGGCAGTTCAGACAGGCGGCAGGAGGTTGCGGAAGATTTGGTGAAGGCTTTTATACTGAACAAAAAATGTAAAGTTTTGGTCCCATGTTTCATGAGCTGAAATAAAAAATCCCAGAAATGTTTAATACGCACAAAAAGCTTATTTCTGAAATGTTGTGCACAAATTTGTTTACATCCCTGTTAGGCAGTGCTTGACTTGGGATGGAAGAAGTGCAGGAGCTGTCTTTTTCCAAATCGGTCCATTAGACTATGTTAACCGAAATTCACAAATTACATTATGCTAGAGACCTCTGATTATTCACTGTTAATGGTTTATACAAGTTTTCCATGACTTCATAACCTCATTTTCATGACTTATTATTATAGCCTACATGAAAAAGTAAGCATTATTGGCACTGGAAAGCTGCTGTACAGAGCGCAGAGCGGCATTTTTAAAAGGACGGAGCGTCGCCCTATGTCCCGCTCCAATTTCGCTCGTTCACACCACGAGTCTGAAGCATGCTCAAGCCTGACCCAGAATCCATCTGTTTAATTTAATTTGTGTCGTCCATGAATTTGTATTTTATAGAGCGAGAGGAGCAGCAGCAGCAACAAGAGAAAAGGGTTGAGGAATTCAAAAGTTTATTCACTGCACGTAAAGGCCCAACCATAACAAGGGAGAGAAAAAGAGAGCTGGATGTAGCATTTTTTGAAATGATTACGCGAAGGGGTGCAACACTTCGCCAGCGTAGCTCAACCGGGCTACACCCCCCCCAAGAAACTATGATAAATTAGTACTTTACTTTGTCAAATTTACATCTGAGATGCCCCATTCACATGCTTCAGCTGGCGATCAAAAACGCTGTTAACAAGCACGACAACATTAATAGGCTGTTAGTGAAAGTCGGGCACCTGGTGAAAAGTGTACACAAGAGCACAGAGGAAACCGACCAATTAGGTGTCCGCCCCACATATGCCTGCGCCATTCGATGGAGCAGCCAGCTGCGGATGATTCAGTTGTTCATCCGGTTGTTCCAAAAAGACCCGTTATGGTAAAACTCAAGTCTAATGTTGCTAACATCACCCTGAATCAAGTACGGCAGCTTACGCACCTTGTCAGTGTGCTGACACCACTAGCAGACCTCACAGACAAAATGCAGAAGGAGCTGGGGAACCTGGGGATGATCCTCCCTGCTGTCACATAAATCAAATCCCTGCTCACCGATTACACTCACGCTGCATTTCCAATGGGCATCGCTGCTTTTGCAGAAACATAGGCAAACAACGTGTCAATTCGCTATGGAATATACTATACTGATTAACATCTCATTTTAGCGTCAGTGTTAGATCCCCGTTTCAAGA